CCCTGTAAAAAAAAAAAAAAAAAAAAAATTAATATGTCCTCAAAAAGTCTGATTCAGCACTGTACAGAAAAGGTTAAAGGCTGGGTCTCAAAGAGACATGGCACATTTACTGTGTTAGCTTCATGTGACTAACGTGAAACATCTGTGGCAAGGAACGTGATAAAGGGGACAGTGTATTTAGTCCACAGTTTGGGAGGTTCGAGGTGAAGATCAGGTGACCCTGCGGGTTTGGCATCCGTCTGGTGAGTGCCTGGTCAGAGAGCGCTCACGGAGTTACCAGGAGCAGACTGGGGCCGCGGTGCCCTTTGAAGCCACGCCTCCCAGTACGGCCACCCTGGGACTCCCAAATGGGGGCATCCCAGCCACAGTCCCTGCCCCTCCCAGCACAGACGCGGAGAGAACACTGTCCCTGGACGGACAACGAACAGGGCCGTCTCTCTGGCATCATCCCTTGCTCTCCCCTCACCCAGATCCCCATCAGCTCCTCCCAGACTCTTGTGGGCCCAGCACCGCCTCAGCTCATGTCTGTTGCCCAGCAAAGTCATTACAAGCACCTTTTCGCCTGCAGGGTCCAGGTGTGGCTGGTGCAGGCTTCTGTGCATGCTGTTCCTGCAGCCTAAAATGCCAGGCCCTTGTCTCGTGAAGCCTCCTTGACAGCCTTCTGTCACCTCTTCCCCAACCCAGGATGGTGTTTACGGCTTCCTCTCTGATTTCCAAGCCTGGTCATTGCTACTTGTCCGTCTTTCCCACCAAACGGAGCTGAGCAGGAAGGAAGGGTGTCTTCAGTTCTTTATGTTGCTGCCTCACCAGGGTCTAGGAAAGCACCCACTGTGAAATATAGGTGCCCCGTCCTTTTTCCTGCTGCGCTGGGGTCAGTCCCCCTGCACCCCCTGCATTCTAGGCAAGCGCTGGGACACTGTATGATGCTCTGGTCCTTGAGACATTTTTAAAGTAGTGTTGATTTCTTTCTCCGCAGGCGTTGCACCCCAGTTGTCCCTAGGTTTGCAGAGGGTTGTGGGCCTCCTCACAGTGGGTGCGCCTATTTCAAGCTGTAGTGGAATATTCAGTATCTGCTGACTTGTGACCCTCTAGGTTCCCAGGCCTCTGGCTATGCGGAAAGAGGGGATTCAGACGCGGAAACGGAAGCCCAAGAACCTGAATAAAGCGAAGACACCAGCAGGTGAGGAGAGAGCTGTGTTTGAGCAGATGAACAAGGCAGGCCCAGCAGGGGTGAGGAGTACCTTCCTCTGTCCTCCATCTGGGCACAGAATGAATAACTGGGTTGTGGGAGCTTTTGAGCAGGCTCAGCTCAAGCTGTGTTAATTATTGTGTTAATCATGGCATCCCACCGGCTGCACCAGTCGGAGGGGCCTAAAGGAGAGGGCCCTTGGCTTGGTCCCTCTCCTCGGTGCTGTGGCCACAAGAACTTCCTCCTTTCAGTTCTCTTTGAAGGACAGGGTCCCGTTAATCACGTTCCCAACAAATTGATCTGTAGCCATGCAGTGCTTTGTACTTAAATCTTTCTAAACACTGGATCATGTCCTTGGGAAACAGCTTCTTACCCCCATCTTTCTAATGAGCAAACCCTGAGACCCAACAGGAACGATTTGACCAGAGCCACACAGATGTTCCTGGGTGGACCTGGGGTTCAAACCCAAGGAGGCAGAGAGGTGTCTTCGCAGTACATCTCTCCCTCTTGCATCTCTAGATTAAGAAGAGGGTTATGGCCGGGCGTGGTGGCGCATGCCTGTAATCCCAGCACTCGGGAGGCTGAGGCAGAAGGATCGCTGTGAGTGCGAGAACAGCCTGGGCCACATAGTGCGTTCCAGGTCAGTTTCAACTACATAGTGAGACCCTGTTTTAAAAAAAAAAGAAGAGGGTTATGAAGTCCCCTCCCAGAGCATTCCTGTCAAATTAAGGAACTGATTTGCAGAGAAAATCAATTGGCTGATTGGTGGGAAGTTTATCTTCCAATCTAAGGTGTGAGAGTGTCGGATAACTTGTCTGTTTCCAGGACCCAGACACGATCAAGGCTCTGTTCTAGACTGAACGATGGCTTACTCTCTCTGCTGGGACACTTATGACCAGGGTTTTCTTCCTCACCCCAGCAGTCCTCTCCTTTCTTCCGCTTCCCCACTCCCCATTGGTGAGGCCTGCTTCCAGGGTAGCCACAGTCCCCCCATAGGAGTCACAGGGAGCACAGTCCCCTCCCCAGCACCCCAAATCCAGGAAGCAAACTTTAGTGGCAGTGCCAGGCCGTTTCTCATCTCTACTTACCCAAGTAATGTGACCATTCGTCTTTTGCTATGGATACATTAATGTATTTATTTGGCTGGTGGTTGTCCCAGGTGCCTCTGCAGGTCCTATAATACACAGTATCTGTACTTTTCAAAATCCAGAATGTTTTGAATCCTCAACCACGTGGGCTCAAGGGACCTGGGGTTGGGGGGCAGTGGGCCTGTCATGTGTGACAGCCCCCTTGGACTCTGACACGTCCCAGTTTTGAGAACTGTTGGCTGAACTGGTGGGACCCTGCTCCTCTCCCAGCAAATGGAAAGGACACCGTCCCCGTGTCCCTGTCCTGACTCTGCCTTGTTCCAGGTCCTTCCGGCAGTGAGAGCCTTCCTCCCACCAGCAGCGCTTCCAGCAGCTCCAGCAACGCCACCAGCAGCAGCAGTGAAGAGATGCGCCCGATCAAGACAGAGCCCGGGCTGTCCTCTCACTACGGGCACAGCAGCTCCATGTCCCAGGTGCGCCCGGGTGGGGAGAGGACGCTGTGCGGACGGCTTTGGGCCCCGCTGCTGAGCTGTCTTAAGTGTGTCTGACTGGGGCGCTGGAGACACACAGAGCTCCTCTGTGCCATGGCGCCTTTGGGACAGGAGAGGAGGCCCAGGGGATGCACCCAGCAGAGGGAGCTCACAGCACAGCTGCACCCTGCGTCACATGGGCGCAGGGCTGTGCACAGTAGGGGCGGCTGGACCTTGGAGGAAGGGAAGGAGGACCCTGCTGGCATGGGCACCGGCTTGGAAATGCAGAGTGCAGGGTGACTGGCGAGGAGACAAGCGGGGTGCCACTGTCACGAGGGCCAGAAGTGCCCCATGTCCCTCTGGCAGGTGGCACGGTGGCATCTCCTCTTCCCTCCCTCTTTGGAGATTAGGATGTCACAGTGTCTCTTCACTGGACGCAACCCCAGTCACAGCCAAGGGAGGCTGTGAACTAATGAGCTTTTTATCATCAAGCGAACATAGGCGCGCCCGGCCCTTTAGGTCCAGGAGTGCCAGGTGCTCCCCACCCTGGGCAGGGAGAACTGGGCTGGTGAGGAGACTGTAGAAAGTGTCTCATGTGACCATCCCAGCCACCGCAACATCCGCGGACCCACCAGTCACAGCCAGTATTCTGTCGTGATGGGGCTGGGGACACAGGGGAGTGCTCATTCCCCGGCCTGGGGCTGGGACCCTCTGAGCACATCGGCATGGCGGGGAGTTCCCAAGCATCCCGGCCTCACCCTGCTTTCTGCCTTTCAGACATTCGCAGTCAGTGCCGTGTCTGGCCACGGGTCCTCCATCCACCCGGTCCTCTCGGCCCTGAAGCTGTCCCCACAAAGCTACACGTCTCCCGTCAGCCAGTCACCGCAGGCCAGCTCCAAGCAGGACTCCTGGAACAGCCTGGTCTTGGCTGACAGTCACGGGGACATAATCACTGCGTAATCCTCCCTTCTCCTGAAGTTCCTGCACGGACCTGGGACTTGGGGGTCCCTGGGGTCACCCCTCTGTCTGGGAGTGACTCCGGAACAGCTGGGAAGAACTTGAAGTCAGTGATGGCCGGGAGATGGATGCTGGACTTCCTCAGACTCCTTCCCAGGGGGACGGGACAGAGACCCCCACCCTGACACAGCGCGGAGGAGCGGAACACTTCTTTCTCACTTCTGCCCTGAGCAGGACAGGACGTCCTCCGCTCCTGCTTTCCTCCGTGGGGCCCAGAGTGGTTTCTCCACTGTGTCCCCAGCGCGGGGCCTCTGCCTGCTGTGCATGGGACCCAGCAGCCCTGCCCTCGCCCACACTCCCTCAAGGCGCCCACACCCCTGTGCCCTCCAGTACCAGGCCCGGCTCCAGAACACTGGGTGTGACGCGATGATACGGAGCACTTCCTGGGGCGTCAGCCACCGCATGGGCTGGCACCCTCCGGGCTCTGCTTGGCAGGCCTTTCCCTCCTTTCCTGGCGGGAGCTCCCCTCCCTCCTCCTCTTCAGCCCAGGGCCTCTGACATGGAAATCCCCGTACAAACAAGAGCTCGGTAGTGTACCCCAACAGCACCTCAGGTCTGTCCCACCTCTTCCGTCCGCCCATCACACGTGGAGGGTTCAGGGGAAGGTGAGGCACTCTCCTGCTAAAGCAACTTCAGCAGAGGCCCATCTGTGCCTTGACGTCCCTCTGGAGGGGCACCCACTGGGCACTGACCCACTCCGAGGACTCCTTCCTGCCTGCCTCCGAGCCTGCCAGGGCCATGGGCCTGCATCTCCTGAGGCCTGGGCTGCGTCCTTCTCCCAGAAGAAATCTTCCACCCTGGAAGCCAAAAGCTAGAGAGTTTCAAGATAAATTTAATGCAAGCAAACGACAAAGCAAAACTCATGGAAAGAGGCTGATCCAAGAAAACCCAGGGTGGGTGCTGAAGGAACGTGTGGCTTGTACCCACCTTGGAAGTGGCCTTTGTGTCCCCTGCCCCAGGCTCAAGAAGACTTCTTCCTCGTCCCTGTTACCCACAGAGCTGTAGCGGACTGTGGCATTACCGTGTCCTTCCCCAAACGCCCGGGCCCTCCCTGGAGCCTTACTGGCCGTAGCAGAGAATATCTTTGGAGCAAGATTCTGTTTTAATCATTTACACTGTTTTCTCCCTAAAGGTCTCCCTCCCATCCCTCCCCAACCCACAAACCTGTTAACATTGTCTTAAGGTGAAATGGCTGTAAAATCAGTATTTAACTAATAAATTTATCTGTATCCCTCTGTCCCTTCTCTTCCCTCAGGTCTCCTGGGATGTCCAAGGATGTCCTTTTCCGGGGCCTCCCTGCTGTCCCACCTGCAGGTGCCTCTAGCCCCTTTCCTCCCGCTTCCCCCTGGCACATGGCACCTCTGTAGGTGGTGGCACCCCGCGAGCATGCGTGTCCCAGCCCAGATGCCGACAGTAGGACCCCAGACAGTTGCCTCCAGGCTCCACTCTCTGGGCGAGGGTTGGACCCACCACCGACAGCTCCTTTGTCCTCACCTTGTCAGGAGACCGCAGATGTTACCCCGTGTGGGGGGCATCTTTAGGGCTCCCATCTGGACTCAGAGGCTCCATCTACCCACCAGGTGGTTGCTCTCTGCAGCCTCTTCAAGGTGTGTTGTGAGAGCCTGTCCTGTGTGGTCTGACCCACAAAGAATCCTGAAGGGACAGATGGTATTCACTCGAGTGAGATGAGACCAAGGCTTTCTCCTGGGTCAGGAGCAAAGGTCCTGCAGCCACCCTCCGGCTTGGTTCCCTGTGCTGGGTCAGGGCCTGGAGAACAGTCCCGCCAGCCGCTCACTTGGCCCTTGCCAAACCCTCTGGGCAGTTGGGGTCATGTAATGTTTCATTACAGCCTATGTTCCAGTGATAAAGATACCGCTTTCGACCTTCTGTGTGAGGTCAGAAATGCCTTTAAACATTGAACTGAGCTTCTGTCGAAGGATGCGTGGTAGATCACTAGAGTAGCAAGTGACAGGTTCCAAACAGGAAGCTATGGGACTTGGCTGTGAGAAGCACATGGTGTCTGATGAAGTCCTTGTTTTAAAACATCTGTGCCACTTCCCTTTAATGATAGCTTTCAGACCAAACCCTACAGGATCCCTGGAGATCACTGCTCTACGTATAGTTACCATGGGCACCTCAGCACAGTGGGGACTCAGCTCTGCACCTCCAGGCTTGGTTCCTCTCAGGTCAAAGCCATCCCAGAAGAAGGCTGTGTTACACGGATTAGGGTTATTACCGAACGTGTGTTCTGGACTCAGGTGCCAGGGGGAAGGGAGGAGTGAGGATTGCAGGACAGCAGCGTTGCACCAGGGGACCTAGCAGCAGGTGAGCGAAGCAGCCAGCAGGTGTGGGTTTGTGTGAGAGACCCCTGGGGCCCCTTACAGTCACCTGGGCCACTGAAACAGGTTTGGTCATTTCCCAGGGGTGGAGAATTCCTCCTGACTTGAAAGTCTTTAAGAGGGCGGGGCAGGAGATGACAGCCTGGGTGTGTGCGTGGGTGGGCAGTGTAAGTTTATATTCCCAGAACTCGACACACCTAGTGCATTGGTCAGCTTTTCATCACTGTAACAAAGCACCTGGTATAATTAACGTACAGCAAGAAAAGGTTTATTTCGGCTCACAGTTCTGGAGGTTCTGCTCTAAGTCAGTGGACTCACTGCTTGGGCACCTGGAGAGGGCACTGGAGGGACCTGGCACAGAGCGGGTGTCAGGGTAAAGTGCTCACCTCATGTGACCTGAGGGCCCTGCACTGGCTCCAACCCTCCTGGCCACCACCCTGGGGTCAACATGGGCCTTCAGGAGAACACTCAAGACCCCCACACACTGGCCTGTGTACCAAGGATGCCAGACAGCCATAGAGGTGGGACTTTGTTTATAAAACTCGCTCTTGATGTTGGGAGTGGCTCTCCAGGTTGCACGCTAGCTTTGCTTGAAAGGCTGATTATTTGAAAATGAACAAAAACAAAATAATGAAAGCCAAGATGACAGACACCAGGCTCTCTGGTGTTTCAAACCCTGGTCTTTTCTCTCTGTGTCTCACCAGCTCTCTCAGGCACACGCCTGAGATACAGGGGACCTTTCCAGTATGGCGACTGCACCGTCTGTCCAGCAGAGAAAGCAGGCATCACAAGCTGCCCATGTGGGAAGGTCTTCGGGGGTCACGGGGAAGAGCACCCCTTCTGGGTGGCCGGCAGATGAGTTAGCTGAGCAGCCAGTTGGTGCCCAGGGCAGCGCCAGCTCTTCGGTCTCCACTGCCCAGCTCCTAGTCCTTCGCAGTGTTCCCCACGTCCTGAGTAGGTCCAGCGTCACGGTCCTCTGGGTCTTCCTCAGTTGTCACATGTCAAACACATAGCAGCATGTAAACTGCGCACCTCTGTGTGTGTTTATGTTATCTTGGGCCTTTGCATTGAGCTGTATCCCCTACCCTTTTCCCTTTTTCTTTCTTTATTTATTTGAAACAGGTTTTCATTAAGTTGCTAAGTGAGCAAGGCTGAGCCTGAACTTGTGACCCTTCTCCCTCAGCCTCTGTTGGTATTACAGGCATGCGCCACCATACTGGGCTCTCAACTTTTATAAGAACAAAACCCAAAAGCTACCAGTTCTGCTTTGCTAACAAGTACCAGAGGGTCATCACTAAATAGCGCTCCCACCCTAGCAAAGGTATTTGGCGTAGATCATGGCCACTAGAGAGGTGGATACTTAGAGGCCTTTTACCCACTTCAGAATGGCCTGCGGGTTGCTAATGGGTAAGTCTCTGGGCCCCTGCAGTGTGCACACCTGGGACAGATTCTGTGTCCACAACAATCTGTGCCATGGCTTCCTAAAGTAACAGGAGGGGGGTAGGAAGTGCCCCAAAGTGGGAATTCTGTGTCCATCTCTTGCTGTGGGGTTCTGTGAGGTCCCCTGGAGCCCAAGCCATCTAGGGGAGCAACATGAGCTTGTCCTGTGTCCCTGTTATGTGCACCTATCATCTCCGTTAGGTACCTGCCACACTGAGGATGGTCAGGAGAGGCAGAGAAACATTGTCCAGACTCACTGGATTGGACCTAGGAAGGTGGCTGCCTCTCCCTCTGGGTCCTACGTTCTTGCTGGTAAACCTGACACCCTGGGCTCAGAGATTGCAGGTGCTCCTTCCAGAGCCTTGGGACTGATGTTCTCCTCATCTGAGGTCTATGGCTGTGATGCTGAGGAGGGCGGTGTGCTGTGCCTTGGCCCAGCTGTTCTGTGAAACCCATACCATGACCCTGGCACACATGCCCCTGCACTGCCAGGTTTGGGGTGCTGCAGGTTACCAAAGGGAACATGTGAGGCTGGCTTCAGGACTCTGAGTGTCATCTCTGCAGTCTGGGTCGATGTCGTTTGGTTTTTAACTTGTGGGGGTCACACTTCTCTGCCAATGTGCAAAAGAGGTGCCCACTTGTACACATAGCTCGAGATCTTGCACACCATGCATCACGTTAGGGGTTTCATGAACTCTGGAAGCTTCTCACATCCCCCTGGTTAAGAATCCCCTCCCGAAGGCACTCGGGGTTCAGGGCCACAAAGCCGTGTTTCCCAAACTATGGTGCCCTGGTGCCGGGTGGGACAAGCAGGGCCCAGAACAAACTTCCTGTTTAGCTAGGAGGCCAAGCAATGACGCCAGGGACGTTGTCAACACGGCAGAGCTGCACTTGGCTCCGGGGAGGTCGCGCGGCATGTGTCGGGAACAGGTCTAGGAATTTCCACTCCTTTCCTTCCGGGAAGGTACAGGTCCCCTAAGGTCTCCGCAGCTGGTCTGAGAGCTGAATGACAAGGAAAGCTGAACCTGCTAAGGAAACAGAAGCCCGGGTTAAGATAACACGCCTGACTCATCTGCAGATCAGGGTGGGGGTCTTCAAGATCATCCGAGGGTCCGATGTTCTCATCCCGCCCGCCTCTCTGGGAAGGCCCAAGGACTCGGGAATGGTGCTTGCAGTTGGCGCTCTCGCCATGTGGGGGCGCCCGCGCTCTCGCCCTCTCCACCCCAGAACGGCCTGCGTTTGCAAACTGTTTGCCTGAGACCAGCCCCAAGTGTTCCCAGTGAAAAGCACCTGCCGTTTATTGAGCACCACTGCCTACTGGGTACTGCTAGTCGCTTTCTGTAGTCACAGAAAACATTTAGATGTCCTTGCGAACACGATACTCACGTAAAGATACAGCTCATGGATTGTAAGTCTCTTGCTGAAGGTCATAGGACTAGTATTTGCAGGGTGGGATGCAAACTGTATCCGGCCCCAGAGCCTGGGCTTTCACACCCTACCGCTGTCTCTCCAAAGGAGAGGAACTCCACAAGCGAGACCCCTGCATGATCTGGGTCTAAGCACTGTACAGTTTATGGGTGTTTCCTAATTAATATCTCATTTCATTGTTTATGCAACAAATACACTGAGTGCCCACTGCTGCAAAGCACCATCCTTTAAACCCTGGTCTCTCACCGGCAGTGTCAGCATCACCGAGAAGTGTGTGGGAAGCCGAAGTCTGAGCCCTGCTACAGACCTGAGTCCAAATCTGCACTTAAGCACGGCTTCTAGAAGATTCGTGTGCGCATTAAAGCTGGAGGAGTGTGGCTTTACAGTATGTCTACAGTGCCGTGAAACAGACGGCCCTTTTAACAGACAGATTCAGACACGGTATCCCCACAGCTAAAAATGAGGCAATACGTGTGAAAAGCGTCTCGCGCCATATATGCAGTGTGATAAATTATGGTGAATTGTTACAGTAGAAAACAGTGCCACGAATCACCCTCAAAATCCTCCCCTCGCTTCAAACACACTTATCCCATCGTCCTTGCCACTGTGAAGCAGTGCTGGAAGTCCTTTTTCATGTCTTTTTGTGGCTTCCTCGATGTCCTGAATCGATTCAAAAGTTCAGCGCAATGTTGTCAAATACAAAACACGAAGTGTGTCTTCCTTCGCCTTGCTCACCAGGTCTGGAACCCTGCGACCCCCGCTGTTCCCCAAAGTCAGAACGACAGGTCAACGTTCCGGATGGATTCAGGACATCCGGGCAGCCAGGACAGCACAACGAAAAGACTGGAAAGAGGACTTCGGTCCGGAGCGAGCGGAGCCCCGCGCCCACCCTCTGCAGCGCCCCCTACAGGCCCTGTCCCTGGCTGGGAGGAGGAGCCCGTTCCGCGGCGTCACCCTAGGG